ATTTGCCATACAGAACATCCCACAGCAGATACTAGATGTAAAGCAAAGGATAACCAGACTGCAACTCACAGCTCCAGGGAGGCTAGCTAGTAAAGAGGACCCTAGGAAAGACACAGGGATCCCCCAGCAATGGAGAAATGGATGAGATCTACATGAGCAAACTGGGGGTAGGGGGTGGGTAATGGAGGATAAGGGTCGGGGGAAAGAGAGCTTAGGGGAGCGGGAGGTCCTAGTTGGATCCAGAACAGAGTGGGAGAGCAAGGAAAGAGATACCATGATAAATTAAGGCACCATGGGAATAGGAAGAAGCAGAGTGCTAGAGAGGTCCCCAGGAATCCACAAAGATGACCCCACTATAGAATACTGGCAATGGTGGAGAGGATGCCTGAGCTGACCTACTCTGGTGATCAGATGGCCGAACCCCCTAACTGTCATGATAGAACCCTCATCCAGTGATGGATGGAAGCAGATGCAGAGATCCACGGCCAAGTCCCAGGTGGAGCTCCAGGAGTCCAATAGACAAGAGAGAGGAGGGATTATATGAGCAAGAGATATGGAGACCATGATTGGAAAAAGTACAGAGACAACTAGCCAAACTAGTGGAAACACATGAACTGTGAACCAATAGCTGAGGAGCCCCCATGGTACTGGACTAGGCCCTCTGGATAAGTGAGAAAGTTGTTTAGCTTGAACTGTTTAGGGGGCCCCCAGGCAGTGAGACCGGGACCTGTTCTTAGTGCATGAGTCGGCTTTTTGGAGCCTAGCACCTACGGAGAGACACTTTGTGCAGCCTTGGTGCGAGGAGGAGGGCTTTGGACCTGCCTCAACTGAATGTACCAGGCTCTGCTGACTCCCCATGGGAGACCTTTCCTTGGAGGAGGTGGGAATGGGGAGTGGGTTAGGGGGGAAGTCTGGGGGTGGGAGGAGGGAGGACAGGGGAATCTGTGGTTGATATGTAAAATGAATAGAAAAATCTCTTAATTAAAAAAAAAAGAGTTGCTGTGGTCATGGTGCCTCTTCACAGCAATAGAAACACTAAGACACCCTCTGTCTTAGTTAGTTACTTTCCTCTTGCTGAGACAAAATATGATGACGAAGGACACTTATAAAAGAAAGCGTTTAATTGTATGTACAATTCCAGAGGGTTAGAATCCATGATGGCGGAGCAAAGGCATGGCAGCAGGAACTGCTGAGAGTTCATGTCTTGATCCACAAGTAGGATGCAGAGAGAAGAGAGCTAATTGGGAAAGCTCTCCAGTGTGACATGCCTCCTCTACCAATACCAAGTCCTTCCCAAACAGTTCCACCACCTGGGGACCAAGCATTCAAATATATGAGCCTGTGAGGGCCATTCTCACTTAAACCACCACACCATTTGGAGTCTTATTGATCGTATGGTAGATGGGCTGGCTGCCTCTGAGTCTTTTACCATCTTTTCTTTCTCCTTTGCTCTCTCTGTTACAGTCTGTAATTTCCTTTGCACCTTATGCAACTTAATAATCCATTCTCTAGCTAGATATAACCTGACTTAACCTTTGAATTTTACATCTTAGAAAATGTGTCTTTTTCCTCAAAGTGTTAAAGATTATTGTTTATAGCATTTTAAATTACGGAAACATGGTTGCTTTGTGTGTTGTATACAATCATCTCTGTGTCCATGGAGGATTGGGGCATGGCCCTTTGGGAACACTAAAACCTGCAGATGTTCAAGTTCTGTATAAAAATAGCTTCATCCTTGTGTATAACTTAGGTGCATCCTTCTGTAGACCCTATTTTGTTCTTTTTTTTTTTGAGATAAGAGTCTTGCTATGGAGTCCCCCCCACCTCCAGTTCTCAATGCTTTAAGAAAAGACATTCTTTTTTTTTTTTTTTTTTTTTTTTTTTGGTTTTTCGAGACAGGGTTTCTCTGTGTAGCTTTGCGCCTTTCCTGGGACTCACTTGGTAGCCCAGGCTGGCCTCGAACTCACAGAGATCCGCCTGGCTCTGCCTCCCGAGTGCTGGGATTAAAGGCGTGCGCCACCACCACCCGGCAAGAAAAGACATTCTTTGTCATTGATAGTATGTAGAGTCACCACTTCATGTCAAGGCACTGATTTTATTTATTTGTTTATTTCATCTTACATACAGTGGGTATCTACTGAATAGCTCAAGGGAAACTATACCCAGTTCCCCTGTACATGTAAATCATCTCTAGATTACATATAATACAAGTATAACAAAAAATACTATGTGAGTGGCTGTAGGTGTAAGAACTATAAACTCTAGTGAATCATTTAGCAAATGTTTAAGGAATTACTACTACTAAATATGTTCAGGGTGTCCATCTGTGTACAAAACTTCTACTAGCACAGACTCTAACTTTCTTGCTTCTTATCACTTGTGTACCTAAGAGTGTAGCAGCACCATTTTAACCATGCTGGGTGGCAGGATGCTGGTTTTCCCTGATTGCTGCTTCTTTATACCAGCTTTTGATACATACAGGATTTTTTCTCTTTCTGGGTCCTTATCATCTGTCAAAATCTTAAATATTCTCCAGAGCACCACCCCCCTCCCCAGCAGAGTTTCACTACGTAGCCCAAGCTGCCTGCAAACTCACCATCCTCCTGCTTCAGTCTCCCGAATGCTAGGCCTTCAGGAGTGAGCCACCACATTTGGCTTGAGATGTTAGCTCTTGCATGATCTTAGATCTTTCTAATCACAAGTGGCCTCTTTTCTTTCCAGCCTGAAACATTGTGTTTATATATTTCTCTGCTACTTTTCACTCTCTGCTTTATGTAACTTCACTTGTACATCTGTCTTATTCCTAGTTAGCTCTTCCATGAACCTAGCACCTTTTATTCACTCAGTAAACACTGAACCCTTGCCATATTCCAGGTACTATGCAAGCTAAAGTCTATAAAATGTGACCAAGATAGGCAAGAACCCCCAAGGTCCATGATTAACACATGTATGGTAGTTTGAATGTAATTGGCCCCCATATTCTCATAGGGAGTGGCACTGTTAGGAGCTGTGGCTTTGGTGGAGTGGGTGTGGCCTTGTTGGAGGAAGTGTGTCACTGTGGGGTGGGCTTTGAGGTTTTCTATGCTCAGGATATCACCCAGTGTGTCAGTCAACTTCCTGTTGCCTGCCTATCAAGAAAGATGTAAGACTCTCAGCTCCAGCACCATGTCTGCCTGCACGCCACCGTGCTCCCCATCATGATGAAAATGGACTGTACTCTGAAACTGTAATCAAGCCACCCCAATTAAATGTTTTCTTTGTAAGAGTTGCTGTGGTCATGTGTTTCTTCACAGCACTAGTAGCCCTAACTAAGACAACATGCAACACAGTAAATTCTCATTTAATAAATCATTTTTTTTTTTTTTTGGTTTTTCGAGACAGGGTTTCTCTGTGTAGCTTTGCGCCTTTTCCTGGAACTCACTTGGTAGCCCAGGCTGGCCTCGAACTCACAGAGATCCTCCTGGCTCTGCCTCCCGAGTGCTGGGATTAATAATAAATCATTTTTAAAAACATGTTTTAAAATACACATAAATACAAAGGAAACTGATGAGAAAGGACAAAGTCTCCCAGTGCAGAAAGCTACTGTTAACTTGCTTTTAAAAAGGAAAACCTTGGACTGGAGAGATGAGTTTAATTCCTAGCACCATCAGACAGTTTACAACTCCCCATGACTCCAGGGCATTCAATGCCCTCTTCTGGCTTCTGCATGCATGTTCATGCATGTTCTCACACACAGATAAATACATAATAAAAAATAAAATCGTAGAAGTTGTCTTTTTAAAAAGATATATATATATATATATATATATATATATATATATATATATATATATATATATATATATATATATATATATATATATATATATATATATATATATGCCAGTGTGTTCCAGGAATTTGGCTGTGGTAGTATTGGCCATTGGCCCTGCGGTCACCCATTCAGTGGGGGAAGAAGAATGTGGACAGAAGCTTCTGTCCCTAGATTGTTCGTGTACCCATCTTCCTAGGTCTGTAACAAGAAGATACTAACCCCCAAATACTGAAGTCATTGCTGGTGAGGAAAGCCTTCATAGGTCTCCAGATGCAGTAATCTCAGTGGATATTTACGCTATAAGTAATAATGTCCACTAGGTGGCGCTAAAGTACAACCAGGACCAAAATATTCACATCCTGTGGCCAGATCAAAAACTACAGCCCGGCAAAGGCAAGCCCAGCTTGGGTGGTGGCTTCATTAACTTTTCAGTAACATCAGTCACTTTTTTTTTCTATTTTAGACTTGCTGCCTTGTGACAGATGCTACTATGCATGAGATAAAGAGCCTCCATTTCTGCTGCTACAATTACTTCCAATTTTTTTGTAACTGCTTCTTGGATTTTATTTCCAGAAAAATATTATATTTATGCCTGGACACAAGCATCCACTTACACATTTTCTCCTGTTTTCGCACAAGCACATTTTACCCAAAAGTGATTGAGCTTGCCCCTTGCTAAGGACACTGGTTTCTTATTAGCATGTCTTGAAGATATTACCTTGCTGACAGTTATGCATCCTCAAATTATTTCCTAATTAATTTCACTGCTCCCACTGTCTTATTATTAGAAACAGTGCGGTGAATGTTTCAAGAAGTGGAGAGACTTCCCGTAGGGTAAACTGCATAGAAGATTGGTTGGAATTGCGGGTCCAGGGCGTTTTTACATCTTGATGGGTACTGCCAAATTGCCCTGTGTGCATGAAAATGCTTTGTATAGTTGAGGGTGGTCTCACTATGTAGTTCAGGCTAGCCTGGAACTAGTGGGTGATCCTCCTGTTGTGCTGGGATTACAGGTATGAGCCACCATGCCCGACCAAAATGCTTGCGGCTTTTGACAGTTTTTACCCCAGGAGCTCGGTGCCTACCTTTTGGCTCTCCCTCTGGGCACGCTTTTGAGCCAGGGCAGGGACGCTCGCCTGCGTTGACTCCTCCTGTCCAGCCGGGGGCGCGGCACGACCTCTCCGCATGCGCAGTGCGCGCCGTGTCAGCTGCGCGGAGCTGGAGGCCTGCGCCGCTTTCCCGTCTGGCTCCCGCGGACCTGGTGCCGGCGGCTGCCTGCCGTCTCCACGCGACCCGACACGGGCGGCCGTGGCTCGCGGCCCGCGGCAAGAGCCGGTGACGGAACGCGGGGCCGAGCGGGAGGCGGCCGGTTCCGAGGTGAGCGCAGGCCGGCCGGGAGGGCCTCAGGGCTGGGCTCGGGGAACCCGGGGATCTGTAGGAGCGCTTGCAATGAGTCCCCATCTGTGCCCTCTCCCCCGGGCCCGAGCGCCTCGCAGGACCTCTGCTTCCTGCTCTCACCGGGCGCTGAGGGATTCCAGTATTCCTCGGGAGGTCTTGCACCTTGCCTCTCCCGGGCCGGTGGCTTCCAGGGACGTGGTGAGGAGGATGGCCCACGACCCATTAGCTCTGAGCGTGGACTGGGAGCTCAGCATAGTTGGGAGATGCGTTCCCGACGGTGGGAACAGTATCCAGTTCTGAGAGTCAAATAATGGCTTGGTGTCATTTATTAGGAAGTGCCAGTCTAGACGGGCCCTTCCGCTTACTGGTCTGTGGATGTTGTCGAGATTGGGACATGTCCATTTCAATTCTTTTAAATCGACCAAATGTTTCAACTCCTTGAGCTGAACTTTGTGTGTTCCGGAGCTCAAGGCTATTCATGGTAATAAAGCACACGGTTGATTTTCATCGCAATCACTTTCCCTGACTGACGCCTCCTGGTTGCACTAGCCTGTGTGGATGGGTTGTCATCTGAAGAACCAGACTGCTGGGCCCTGAACTCCGGCCTTGAGGTTCTGTTGTGGAACCCTGGAGGTTCTGAGCCTTGCTGTTGACTTTTCTCTACCACAGGAAGTTCAGAAGTTTGCCACACAGCGCTGTCAGGAAGATGAAGACTGAGTGAATGTATACGTGTAAAGCGCTTCAAACAGATGTGTGGAGTAAGTGGTACTTAATGTATTCACTGTGATGTAATGCCATAGTCAAACAGTATCTTTATATTAGACTACATTTTTAGAGGTAGTTAGCCACACCGGAACCGTAATTATTATCCTGCCAGGCAAGGTTGTGCATTGTGAGTTTGTGTCTATTTGCCTACTTTGTTTCCAGAAGAGTTAGGCTAAGTTCAGTGTAGCGGTGGCTGTGGGAGTTCAGCAGGCAGGACATCTCCAAAAAGCCTAAGAGGACAAAACATTGTGACTTGGAACGTTGTGCTGAGTGGATTGACTGGGGCTTGGAAGAAAGGTGGTTCCGGCCAGTGTTAGGACTAAGCAATTCCAGGAACCTGGTGTCTCACCCTGATGGTGGAAGATGGGTGTCACAGTCACTTCCAGTGACTCAGTCTCCACTGCGGGATGAAGGGGCCCAGCATTTTTTTTTTTTTTTTGGAGGGGAGGAGTTTGATGGGTTTGAAGGATGATAATTTGTAGGGTCTGTGTTGAAAGTCTTGTTGTGATCCAGGTCATGGTGTGAAACTGGACAGACAGAAGAACTGCGGCTTCAGCCTAGATGGATGCTTTTACACAGGATTCAGCGCAGGCTTATCAGGGCTGGGCTGTGTGGAGGAGGTAGCTCGGCTGGTAGACTTCCCAGCATGCACGAGGCTCTGGATTGGCTCTCCAGTAGCCCCATAAACTGGGGTGGGGGGTGCATGCCTGCTGTCCTGGAACTCAGAAGGTGAGAATGGGATGACAAGTTCCTGACCAGCCTGGATTAATTAATTAATTAATTATTGATTTTCTTAATCTTAATTACTTTATTATTTACTTTTATTTTATATGCGAGTGTTTTGCTTAGATGCATGCACATGTACTATGTGTATGCAGTGCCCGCAGAAGCCAGAAGAGGGCATTAGAGCCCCTGGAACTGAAGTTCCAGATGTCTGTGAGCCTTCAAGTAGGTGCTGATTATTATTATTATTATTACTACTGTATTGCTGGGGACCTAGGCCATGCTCAGCCAGCACTCTGCCCCTGGGCTGTAGCCCTGTTGCCATGCGCCCCCACTTCTTTTATTTTGGGTGTTTATTCTGACCCAGGTGCTTTTGCACATCCTCAGCTTTCTTTCTCAGAATTGGTGTAGACGTTCAGTGCTGAACCAGCCTGTGAAGGCTTCCGTAAGCCAGGAAGAGTGTACTGTCCAGGCTGGTTTGGCGTTGCTGTGCCTCAACTCCCTGTCAGTCGGTTGGTTCTGAAGTGTGTTCTGTCTGAATCTTTGGGGCTCTTAGCAGAACTAAGTTGTTTGCGGAGCTCAGTGATCTGGCCAGCTCTATCATCACCGTCCCCTTTTCTGGCTTCGCTCTGGGTTTTCTGAAGTCTTCTCCCGCCAGCTCCTTATGCTCATGTTGTTTTTCCCAGTTTGGCAGAACACAGACCATGCTAGACCATGCCCTAGCAAGCAGCCCTGAGAACATGTCCTGAGACCTTCTTGCTCACCCTCAGATGGCAGTAAGGACCCCTCCAGCAGTGGAAAGCAAGGCATCAGGAACCCCTGTACTCTAGCAGAACAGCTGTAGGACTCCTACCGGGGCAGCTTGGGGTGAGCTCCAGGTGGGAGGGAGGCAGCCCCAGCATGGTGGCTGTAGCTCTTGAGAGAGTATGGCCTGTGGTGATGGAAGGGTAGTGGCATTGGCTGCCTCTTGGCATCTTCCTTAGGAGCCTTCATAGCAGGGAATGCTAGGTTCTGGGCAGCCAGATGCCAGCTCAGGGCACATCACGAAACACAGGAGGTTCCATGGCAGTATGTCCTGCAGCTGGGCGCAGATGCGATGATCATATTAGAGTTGAATCATCATCATGGCGGAACTGCAGGGGAGGTGAAGACACAGCCTTGGCATCTGTGGTCAAGGCCACAGTGGGAAGAAATCCTGGGATGGAGAGGCTGGGGACACTGAGAACTTGGATTCTCAGGATTCCCCAATCTCCGGCCTGGCAGCAGGTCTTTGAGGTAGAGGAGAGTTTCTTTGCCCAGCCTAGCCTGTGCAGAGCCATCCCTGGGGCAGCTGCTTTGCCCAGGCTAGCCTGTGCAGAGCCATCCCTGGGGCAGCTGCTTTGCCCAGGCTAGCCTGTACAGAGCCATCCCTGGGGCAGTTGCTTTGCTCAGCACGGCTTGTCTGCTTCAGGGTCTGCCTCCACCTTCTCTCATGGCAGCTTCCCCTAAGTGGGGAGTCTTCAGATGTCTGTGGCTGCAGGACCTGGCTGTGTGGACTAACAGCAGCTGGAGGAAGTATGTGGAGTAGGGGGCTATAAAACTGGATGTACAGGGTGTGGAGGCAGGTACATTTTCTCATGATCGAGAGTTAATGACCCAGCTGGATATCAGGAGTTGGCCCTAAGCTGGACAGGCTTGAAGCTTGGATGCAGCCATGACCTAAACTACTGGTTCTCATCCTGGGGTGAGTTCATTGTCCTCGGGGGTATTTAGCAATGTCTGGGTATACTCTTGGTGGTTACTGTTAGAGGTCTAATACTTGCTTTCACTGTTTAGAGGCTGAGGGTGCTACTGAAGCAGTTATGATCTGTATAATAGCTTCCCAATGAGAGAGTTACCTAACTCAGAATGTTAGTAGAAGCCACGGCCAGAAACTCTGGCCTCCAGTAAATGAGGGGCGGTATCAGGACTGCTGTGGCAGTGTTGAAGAAGCCATTGGAAGTTTGGGGAGGCAGATAGATAGGTTGTTACTCAAGGCTAGAGATAACACCGCTTGCTCAGCCAGCCTCTGGGGGAAGTCCACTCCCTTCACTCTGGTAATATGGAATGGCCAGGGAGGGGCTGGCACTCTGGTAATATGGAATGGCCAGGGAGGGGCTGGCACTCTGGTAATATGGAATGGCCAGGGAGAGGCTGGCACTCTGGTAATATGGAATGACCAGGGAGGGGCTGGCACTCTGGTAGTATGGAATGACCAGGGAGAAGCTGGCACTCTGGTAATATAGAATGACCAGGGAGGGGCTGGTACTCTGGTAATATGGAATGACCAGGGAGAGGCTGGCACTCTGGTAATATAGAATGACCAGGGAGGGGCTGGCACTCTGGTAATATAGAATGGCCAGGGAGGGGCTGGCACCTTTGAGACGTAAGCTCAGCACTGACCCCCTGCAGGCTGCGATTGGCTTTCATGGTACCAAAGAGCTGGGTTCCCAAGTTCCTGAGAAAGGTAGAGCTCTGTAGTATCAGTGGCCAGGTGGTGTCCTTAGCCACAGATAGCAGGCAGTCATGGTACCCATAGCGGATGGTAAGCAGGGACTCACCAGGCTGTCTTGACCCGCTGTGCTGTGACTAGGCCATGGTTCTAGAGCAGTGTAGAGGGGCAGCCAGCTCAGACACTGGTGTGTGTGTTTGTGTGTGTGTTTCCTTTCTTTTGGTTTTGCTGGTGTGAGATTATTTATTTCCTGTGTTTTCATGGGTGTAGTTAACCTCCTGGGTTTGGATTTTTCCTTCTAGCATCTTCTGTAGGGCTGGATCTGTAGATAGATATTGTTTAAATCTGACTTTGTCATGGAATGTCTTGTTTTCTCCATCTGTGGTGATTAAAAGTTTTGCTGGGTATAGTAGTCTAGGCTGGCATATTTGGTTTCTTAGAGTCTGCAGCACATCTGTCCAGGCCCTTCTGGCTTTCAGAGTCTCCATTGAGAAGACAGGTGTAATTCTAATAGGTCTGCCTTTATATGTTACTTGGTCTTTTTCCTTTGCAGCTTTTAATATTTTTTCTTTGTTCTGTATGTTTAGTATTTTAATTATTATGTGGTGAGGGGACTTTCTTTTCTGGTCCAGTCTGTAAGTGTTAGTGTTCTGTAAGCTTATTGTACCTTTATAGGCATGTCCTTCTTCAGGTTAGGAAAATTTTCTTCTATGATTTTGTTGAAAATATTTTTTGGGCCTTTGAGCTGAAATTCTTTTCCTTTTTTCTGTTCCTATTATTTTTAGGTTTGGTCTTTTCGTCCAGATTTCCTGGATGTTTTGTGTCAGGAACTTTTTAGATTTAACATTTATTTTAACTGATGTATCCATTTCTTCTATGGTATCTTCAGTGTCCAAGATTCTCTCTTCCATCTCTTGTATTCTGTTGGTGAAACTTGTCTCTGTAGTTCCTGTTCACATTACTCCGTTTTTCATTTCCAGAATTCCCTCAGTTTGTGATTTCTGTATTGATTCTATTTCCATTTTCAGATTTTGAACAGTTTCATTTGTTTTCTTCAACTGTTCGTTTGTTTTTTCTTGACTTTCTTTAAGGGATTTATTCATTTCCTACAGTCGTTTGTGCCTTTCTGGATTTCTTTAGGGGATGTATTCATTTCCTCTTTAAGGACCTCTATCATCTGCATATAGTTGGTCTTAACGTCTTCCTCTTGGGCTTCAGCTGTGTTGGAATATCAGGGCTTGCTGCAGTAGGATGGCTGGGCTCTGGTGGAGACATCTTGCCCTGGCTGTTATTGTTGTGATCTTGCTTCTAGGCATTTAGGTTTGGGGTGATCATAGGCCCAGCTACTGATTTCTGGGTTTGTCTTTGTTGGGTAGCTGTTTTATTCCTTGGTTTCTGCTTCCTCTCTGGATTTTCAGAGAGTGTGTTGGCTGTGTTTTGCCTGTTTTCCTGGTGTGTTCAAGGGGAATGCTTGCTGGTGTTGGAGACGGGGGAAGGGGAGGCCAGGGGTAGATGGTCTGTTACAGTGCTAGGGAAAACCCCGAAAATTGGGACTGAGGTAACAGAGAGAGAGTGGAGAAGGCCTGGACAGCCTACCTAGTCTTCTGGGGGGCATGGCCTGTGGTCGAGTAGGGGGTGTCTGTCTGAGTTGGGGGCTGGGTTGCATCTACAAGGTGGGGAGAGGAGGCCGGGGAGATGGTCTGTGGGATCCATAAGAGGCGTGGACAGCAGGAAGATGAGGGTGCAGCTGGTGTTCTGTTACAGTGCTAGGGGTGACCCTGAGAATTGGGTTTGGGGGAACAGAGAGAGTGGAGAAGGTCTGAGGGCAGCCTCTCTGGTCTTCTGGCCCAAAAGTGGATTTCATAGTGTGAATTGAAAGGTTGGAAAACCATTGTGTGAAAGGAGTTTGTTTAAAGTTAGCAAAGGTCTCAGACTGACTATGTACCATAAGCTGCCTTGGCTACCTTGCTCAGTGGTGGAGTTTCCAAGTCATTTAGACCAACAAGGATGAGCTGCAGTGGCGGGCCGTGAATCCCCCTGGGTGCTCACCTTGTGGCGTTTGGTAACTACTGATTTAGAATTGAGGTAGACCATGAGAGCTTGTTGGGAAAGTTTGCACGTGGGCTGGTGGGCTACATTGTCTGCCTCAACTCTTCCTCTTTGCAAACCCTGGGGGCCATCCGGGGAGGCAGAGCCATAGCACACACCGGGCCTGGGGCCAGTGGGCTGACTGTTAGGATGTCAGAGAGGTGATACCTCTGGAACTTCTATTCCTGTTATGGAGGCACTTAGCATATATTGAGTGGCTAACACATATACCCCAAAGATGATGATATTTGAGCTTAAGTGGATAGACTTCTGCATGAGTCCTGATTCCTGGGCATACTTTGATTCATGGTCTCAGAGATTTGAGTGAAATCACTTTTGACAATGGCACATTTCCCTCCCACCTGGACTGGCAGTGATTGCAACTGCAATATTCAAGGCTGGAAAGTCTTCCAGTGTGTGCGGTGATGGGGTGGGGTGGGGACACTCTATTTAGCCAAAGTGAAAATGACTGATAAGCCCGCTGCAAACCTCTGGGTTTTTCAATAACTTCCCTCTGTGCTCAGAGTTACCCTGGCAAATCAGTATTTGAGGGGCCCTTTGTAGTTTGGGGCTTCTACTTGAAATGCCGGTGTGGCCCATTGCAGTCCCTGGTCAGTCTGTAGCAGCCATCCATCACACTCCAGGCTGTGTCCCACCCACAGCACCTGGGCATGAGCAATGGGAAGCTGGCTTGGTAAGCACCTTATGTTATGGTCTGCAGGGCAAGTGTGCCTGTCTTAGTCAGGGTTACTATTGCTGTGACAGAACACCATGGCCAAACACAAGTTGGGGAGGGAAGGGTTATTTCACTCACAGTACCTTATGACAGTTCGTCATCAAACGCCATGCAGGCAGGAACTGAAACAGGACAGGAGTCTGGAGACAGGAGCTGATGCAGAGGCCATGAAGGATGCTTCCTACTGGCTTGCTCCCCATGGCTTGCTCAGCCTTTTTTCTTATAGAACCCAGGACCATCAGCCCAGGGATGGCAGCACCTACAATGAATGGGCTGGGCCCTCCCTCGTCAATCACTAATTTAGAAAATGCCTTACAGCTGGCTCTTATGGAGGCAGTTTCTCAATTAATGTTCTGTCTTTTCAGCTGACTCTAGTTTGTGTAAAGTTGACCTAAGACTAGCCAGCATTCTGCCTTTTTGCTGAGCACTGAGCGGTTTCTTTTCTGTCTCAGCCCATGATGTTTACTGATTTTTTTCTACTGCTGTGTAACTGACCACGAAAACGCAGTGGCTTAGAGTGACAATGAGCATGTGGCCTTTGATGGGGACAGTGTGGATATCTGAGGGTACCATCCACTGGTTGTTCAAACTCTTGTGTAGTAAGAGTTCCCAAGAGGACAGTTGTAGAAACTGAGGTTTCTTGGGACCCAGGCTCAAAGTCTCAGAATGTCCTCTATGTAAGTGACAGACTGTGGGGACTTGCAGGGAAGGACCTGGGCTTCTGCTCTTGAGTTGCAAAATGCTGCTGTGCATATTCATGGATGGGAGGAGCTGTCAGCATCTGGACTGACCACAATGACTCTTTTCTTCTGTCCCCCTCCTCTTTCCCTTACTTTGGTTCTCCTGCTGGGTTCACTTGAATGCTTTTCAGTGAAACGAGCCAGCCTTTACTTTCATTATAAGATACCAACATGCGTTAGATTTAAAGTGGACGCTGCTCTTCTGAGATGCCCCTGACCCAGCTCCACACTCTGCATCACTTGGCTTCCTCTTCTCTCCCTCACTAGGTTGGAGGCTCCTCTAGGTGTGGTCAGCCTTGTCTCTGTCACAGTACCTAGTGAGTGAGTGAATGAATGGAAACTGATTTTAGAGTTACAAAGCATCATTTTGGTCCAGGTAAACTGTCACTGTAGGTCAGGTGAATGTTTCAAAATAAGTATCTGTAGTTATTTTGTTTTAGAATTTTCTTCTTGGGTCAGCACCTCCTTCCCAGGGCCCAACATTTCTTGGCTTATGCTTAAATATATATATATACACATATAAATACATATATATCTCTATATCTATCTATCTATCTATCTATCTATCTATCTATCTATATACATAGGGTTGGGGTTGGAAGGGTGGCTCAGCAGTTAAAAGCACTGGCTGCTCTTCCAGGGGACCCATGTTCCATTCCCAGCACATACCTGGAAGCTCACAACTATCTGTAACTCCAGTTCCAGGGGATATAATGTCCTTTTCTGGCCTCCATGGGCACCAGGCACACACATGGTGCACAGACATGTATACAGGCAAAAATACTTATACAGATAAGTATAAATTTAAAAGATGAATATAACTAGGGCATAGCTATAATTTTATATTATATATGACATATTATATATTTATGTATAGCATTAAATATTAAATTTATCCTATATGTAAGAATACATATTTGCATACATTAGCAGTGTCAAAAATCTTGTCATTTTGATGTCCTGTGCTTATAATCACAGACTTTGGGACATGGAGGCAGGAGGATCAGGGGATTAAGGCCATCATGGGCTATGTAGCAAATTCAGGGCCAGCCTGAGCTATGTGAGACCTTGTTTTGGAAAAAAAAAAGAGAGAAAGTAAATAAACGTATTAAAAGTTGAACGATCCAATCCTTTCAGGGTGTTGCTTGCCATCCTAAACATTTGCTTTTTCCCACGTTTGTCTTTGTCGACCAGGTGTGTGAGGAGGAGGCTATCTGTGTCGTCATGTGCGCGTCAGTCAAGTACAACATCCGGGGTCCCGCCCTCATCCCCAGAATGAAGACCAAGCACCGGCTCTACTACGTCACCCTCTTCTCCATCGTCCTCCTGGGCCTCATCGCCACAGGCGTGTTCCAGTTCTGGCCCCACTCCATCGAGTCCTCCAGTGACGGGGGTGTGGAGAAGCGCAGCATCCGGGAAGTGCCTGTGGTCAGGCTGCCAGCTGCCAGCCCCATCCCGGAGCGGGGGGACCTCAGCTGTAGAATGCACACGTGTTTCGATGTCTACCGCTGTGGCTTCAACCCAAAGAACAAAATCAAGGTGTACATCTATCCCCTGAAAAAGTACGTGGATGACGCGGGTGTCCCAGTGAGCAGCACCATCTCCCGGGAGTACAACGAGCTGCTGACGGCGATCTCAGACAGTGACTACTACACGGATGACATCAGCCGGGCCTGCCTCTTTGTCCCCTCCATCGACGTCCTGAACCAGAACCCCCTTCGCATCAAGGAGACGGCACAGGCTCTGGCCCAGCTTTCCAGGTACCTGACACCTAGCCGCCAGAGCCCAAGGGATAGTCTAGAGGGAAGGGGAGAGACGGGAGTGTGTCCCCTGTTGACGTGCCCCCCAGATGCTTCAGCTCACACGTGTGTGAGTGACTGATGTGTAGCAGGAGGTTTGTGCTGTGAGTGCCGGCCGTGGGGCTGCCATCCTGCAGCTGTAGTGGCCTGTGGCTTAGTGGAGTTTAGAACTAAAGGAAGCTCTCTCCTCCTGTACTTCTCCCTGTGGATTAAAAGGCACAGCCTTCTACCCCAGGCACTCTGGTCATTCCTGTTTGCTGTGAAAAGCCTGGAAAGGCAGCTCAGCAAAAGGAATGTAAGATCTATTCCATCCTCTGCCTCTAAAAGGCAACCACTATTACTGTTTCAGTGGGCTTATTCAGTCTTTTTTTTTGTTTTTGGTATGAAATTGCTATGTGTGTATAATTATGAACATTTTTGGCCAGGAATGGCATCATGTGGTCATACTCCAAAGAAGCTTCAATTCTCATAATGTATTGTGAATATCTTTCCAAATAATTTAACTGTGTGTGTGTGTGTGTGTGTGTGTGTGTGTGTGTGCACGTGTGTATGTGCACGTGCATATGAGAGTACTAGAATGCACACACACAATGTCTATGCAAAGGCCAGAGATTGATGTTGGGTGTCTTTATTACCCTTTTTTTTTTTTTTTTTTTTTTTTGAGACAGGTCTCTCACTGAACCTGGAGCCTGCCCATTTGGCTAGGTGGCTGGTCATTGAGTCCGGAGATCTTCCTGTCTGTGCCTCCCCAGCAGTGGGGTTACAAGCATGCTCCTCTGCACCTGGCTTTTATAAAGGTGCAGAGAATTGAACTCAGGTCCCCAGGCTTGTATGGCAAGCACTATACTGACTGGGTCATCTCCCTAGCCCCTCACATTCTTTTTTTATATAATTTTGAAGGTTGTGTACTATTCTACTTTATGGATATTCTGTATATATTTAATCAGCTGCCTATAATTTGTTTACATTTGTTTCTTTTAAATTTTTATTTATTTAAACGCGTATGGATGTTCTGCCTGCGTGTATGTCTGTGTACCACATGAGTGCCTGGTGTCCTACAGGCCAGAAGAGAGCATTGAATTCCCTGGAACTGGAGTTATAGATGGTTGTGAGCCATCATGTGGGTGCTAGGATTAGAACCTGGGTCCTCTGGAAGAGCAGCCAGTGTTCCTAACCACTGAGCCATCTCTCCAGCCCAACTTTTGCTTCTTGAGCATTTAGGTGAGTTTCAGGTTTTTGGGTTTATTTTTATGTTTAAATGATCAGAAATGATGATGTAGCAGACGAGCTGGAAATACACCTTTCCAGTTTTTTGTTTTTTTTTAAACCTGTTGTCCCTTTGGGTGTTCAGAAGTTTCTTTGCACCTGGGAGGCCTTGCTGTTGTGGCTACTTACACCTGTGTCTCAGCAGGTGGCGCTGTTGCAGGCTTGGGCTGTTTGCACATGTGATCCAGCATCATCATACCCTCTTTTCTTCATGGTTGAAGTGTAGACTCTGAATTGTTTGCTTTCTCAATAGGTGGGATCGAGGAACAAATCACCTGCTGTTCAACATGTTGCCTGGAGGTCCCCCAGACTACAACACTGCCCTGGATGTCCCCAGAGACAGGTGAGCATTTGGGAGGCTGTCCTATGATGGATTTCTGAGGATTAGGGAAGTTAAATAGGAATCATTTATTTCCATGAAATTAGGTTCCTAGACGCAGGTGAGGTGCACGCTTTTAATCCCAGCATTTGGGAGGCAGAGGCAGGCGGATCTTTGAGTTTGAGGCCTGTTCCAGGACAGCCAGGGCTACACAGGGAGAAACCTATCTTACAATAGATAGATGGATGGATGGATGGATGGATGGATGGATGGATAGATAGATAGATAGATAGATAGATAGATAGATAGATAGATAAAGGAATTAGGTTCCCGAACCTGCTGGGATATATTTTATGATCAGAATTGCTTATTAAACTAGAAAATCCTCTGAGGCATTTCTCTCCTTAAGACAGGAATTTGGAAGCTGTTAACCTGTGGAAGCAGTTGGAGCTGGGGTCCTGGGACAGCTCGAAGAACTGTCTTGTTTTCCTAGTCGGGGCTGGTGTTAGTTTCAAGTGTAGCATCCAGTTCCCAAGCCAGTTAGGTTCAGGATAATGGTGTCCATCCATGCTTTCTGAATTGGGGCTCACTTGCCAAAAGGGGTCCTGTAGCTCCTGAGGAGAGAAGGGTGGATGTGTAAAGGTCCCCGAAGCCTGTACTGTGAGGGCAGCCAGGGGGCTCAGGGCATCACTGCCTGTGTTTTGATGGGCCAGTTCCTCCCCTCCTCTCCCTGTTTTTCCCACCTCACTTCTCATCCCCACTCACCTCTCCCTTGTTTCCTCCTTTCTGGTAAAGCTTCCCAAACAGGCCGAAGTAGGGAGAGGTGGCCAGCGGTCATGCTCCTGACTCCGAGCTCACTCATTACGCCTCTCGGCCCTTTCATGCATCAGTTGACTCACTTTAGCCCAAGGCTCCTGGAAAGTTCCAGAATGAGGCGCTGCGCTTGTCTCCTCTTTCAGTGTTTGGCTCACTGCTTTTAGGAAAGCAGAAAGTTTGGCCCCAGCTCAGGACAGTGTTCAGGTTACAGGAGTGTTGTAAGAGTGTGTGGGCGGATTTCCTTTATTCCACAGTCTTGTTAGATGATGCTGAACTTGAGATCAGTGTTACTGACAGAAGTCTCATCTTGAGACCAGCTGTGTTCTCAGAGGCTAACGTTATCATCTGTGGAAATATACACTGTGTCATGTGTCTGCCCAGATGGTTGATTTAAACCTAGGCTTCAAGTGGCTGCCTCCAGTCAGTTTTGATTTTCTGTCTGGAAGACACATAATAATGTAGAGAGCCCTGTGGACAACAGAGGGCAGTGTGGCTGCCACACAGGCAGAGAGAGCCCCGTGGACAACAGAGGGCAGTGTGGCTGCCACATAGGCAGAGAGAGCCCCGTGGACAACAGAGGGCAGTGTGGCTACCACACAGAGAGCCCCGTGGACAACAGAGGGCAGTGTGGCTGCCACATAGGCAGAGAGAGCCCCGTGGCCAACAGAGGGCAGTGTGGCTGCCACACATGCAGAGAGCCCTGTGGACAACAGAGGGCAGTGTGGCCACACAAGTCTGCACAAGCAGTTCCCCCCCAGGCTATCCCTGACTGGCCTCCTGATTGAGCTGCTTTTATAGACGCCTAGAAAAGCAGAAATGTGTAAGGAATACGGGCAGAAGAAGGATAATCAAATTCTAAGGTTGTAGAACTGAGAGAACTAACATCACATAAATGTTAAGGGAATGATTGCTCCCACTGGTGTTAAAATGAAATAGGCTATGTGTATGTGGGCCCAGGACCCTCGCTGAGGCCCGAATAGTTGCTGATGTTCTGAGGGCAGGAAGGAGCTGTTGGGGTGCAGTGTCTACCCCTCCTGTTTGGGGTGTGCTTTAGGAGGGCTCGGTTCTGTTGTTCTGTTTGGAACATTTCACTTAAAAATTTCATAGTCTCACGATGTAGACCCAGTTGGCCTGGAGCCAGGCTGGCTGTGAAATTTATAGAGATCCATGGCCTACCTGTCTCCTGAGTGCTGGGATTAAAGACGTGTGCCACCATGCCCAATGGGACACTTTGCTTCTGCTGGGATCTTGCTGTATGCTCTGTGTGTGACACTGATCTTTATTTTTAATCAAGTGTTAAATGTGAGAAGATTCCAAATGGGCAGAAGACTGTTGGAGTTTTAGTAGTTGGTGCCTGGGTGTTAGAACCAGAAGGCGAGCTTGTTCTCATCAGCATGTGCTTGGCCTCCATCTTGGCTGCCGTATGTTTCACTCTGATGCCTTGGTAGCTTTCTGTGTGGGAGGAGTCATAGGCTTGTTTTTAAGTCTCTGTCCTCTGTCCTTGCTTGTGTGTTTGGAGGAGTGTACAGTAGCATCAGATGGAGCTGGATGTCTGCTCTGGAATTAGAAGGCAGGTGGATTAGATTAGATCTTTGAAGTCCAAATTCGTGGATGTGCTTGCTCATATGATATTTTGTTTTGTTTTGTTTTTTGAGACAGGGTTTCTCTGTGTGTCCCTGGCTATCCTGGAACTGGCTTTGTAGACCAGGCTAACTTTAAACTCAGAGATCCACCTGCCTCTGGCTTCCGAGTGCTGGGATTAAAGGTGTGCACCACCACTGCCTATCTGCTTATATGGTATTTTGCTTAAAGAAATGTAAGGATCTGAACTGAATTAGAATCCAGGGCCTTCAGTGTGCTAAGCAAGTGCTCTACCACTGAGCTGTAGTCCAAAACCCAAATGTATCTTTTATGCTGCTCAAATGTTTCCTATTTCTCTTAGAATTTTTAGGAACAGTACATGTGACACATAGGTATTTTGCACAAGAGTTGAGCTGCATGCAAGTGTGTAAGGGATCAAACTAAACAGCCTGCTTAGTCCAATTTCACGAGAGAGAGAGAGAGAGAGAGAGAGAGAGAGAGAGAGAGAGAGAGAGAAAGAGAGAGAGAGAGAGAGAGAGAGAGAGAGAGAGAGAGAGAGAGAGCGCCTCACCGTTAGAATAGTGTCTTAGTTTTGTTCCCTGTTTCTCTGATGAGCACCCTGACAGAGCAGCTTTGGGGAGACAGGGTGTATGGGATTTATTTGGCTTCAGCCCATCATTTCGAGGACATGAAGAGGAATGTGAAGCAGCTAGTCACATCCACAGTGATGAGCAGAGAGAATGGTGTAGGCTTCCTCGGCTGGCATGCTCTACTCTGTACAATCCACACCCACACCCAGGGAATAATAGTGGCGCCTACTTGGTGGCTGGGTCTTCCCACATAAAGTAGCATAATTAAGATAACCTCCTCTCCCCCAGACATGCCCACATGCCAGCCTAATCTAGAAAACTCCTTATTACAAATCCTTTCCCAGTTGACTCTACATTGTGCTAACTTGACAAACTGTCACAACTATTTTGTTTTTCTAGTCCTTTTGCCCCATGAGTTTACACACACACACACACACACACACATGCACACACACACACACACACACACACAGATGCACATGCACACACATACATGCACACCCTCCCACATTCAGTTTAACTTTAGTAGGAGCATATTAGACCTCTTGGATGCTTAACTAATGTTCATTTTCTCAGGTATATTCTAGAGTATTACTACCTTGGCTTTTTATTAGTCTTCCTTTGAGTATGTCTTGTACATATTTCTGCTGTGCTGTGGGTGTCTATATTCATTTATTTGAACTTGTTAGGGAAACATAAATCCTGTACAAGAGAAGCGAGGCTAGCCCAGTGACCTCTGTACCCCACTCTCAGCTTCATCACCTCCTGGCCGGTGCTGCTCCACCTGTTCGGAATGTGCTCCTCCCCCAATTATCTAGAAGCAAATTCCAGACCTCATTACATGTGCAGACAGTCCTGTGTGGATCTCCGCATTAACTACAACACTATTATACGTAAAATATTGACAGTACTTAGACAAAGATTTATTTTTATTTAAGTGTGTATGTGTGTGCCTGCATGGGTTTGTGTGCACCTCAGGTGGGTAGGTTCCCTTGGAGGCCAGAGGGCATGAGATCCCCTGGAACTGGAGTTACTGACAATTGGGGATGCTGAGACCTGAACCCTGGCCTGCTGTAAGGACAGTAAGCACTCCTAACTGCAAAGCCATCTCTCCAGCCATATGGTATTTTTTTGGTGGTGTTTTTGAGACACACACTCTCTCTCCGTAGTACAGACTAGCCTCAAACTCACAACCTGTAGCCGCAGGTTTCTAAGCTGAGATTACAGGCATACACCACCATGCTCTGTTCAACAATATTTCTTTTTAATTGTTGTTTTGTTTGTTTGTTTGTTTTTGAAGCAGAGTCTCACTAAGGAGACCAGGCTGGCCTCGAACTCATAAATATTCACCATTCTCTGCCTCCCTAGTGCTGAGATTAGAGACGTGGGCCATGCTGAAACATGCTCAACAATACTTCTTTAAATAAATTGATAAACGAGGCACCTGTGTTTGGCACTCTGAATGCTCAGCAATAGGAGGCGGCCTGTGAGCTCCTTGTGTGCGTGGGAGTCAGGAGGGCGGTGGGAGCAAGGCTCAGCACTGGCGGCAGAGGAGGCATCCTAGAGTCAGGGAGCCCTGGCTAGCTCCATGCTGGAGACCTTCCCTATTGACCCCTTGGCCTGCCAATTGGTAGGATCATTCACTCAGACTTCCTGGCCACAAGTTTTCGACTCCATCTCTTGTGGAACTGAGCTTCAGTTTGGGGATCTGTGATGGGAAAACAATGTCCTGCTCAGAAGTTCTCTCTGCAGTCAATGTGAAACATGTGTCCTGTGAAGTGGGGGCAGCTGGCACCCTGTATTGTAATGCCATGGGAAGCTGGGCTGAAGAGGCTGGGGTTTGCAGGGGGGTGTAGATGTAACCAACCTTCTTATTAAATAAGAAACACAGAACCAATGCAAAGAAGAAAGCCAAGAGGTCAGAGCTAAGAGCTAAAACCTTACCCTTCCTCCTGCGGTGGTCCTACCTCTCCGAACCAGAGCTACCCCTATGATAAAGACTTTATATAGAGTTCTTGTTCTGCCTTCTCATTGGTTGTAAACTCAACCACATGACCGCCTCATCACGGCCTGTCTGTATAGGCCTCCAGGTTTTCCATGATTAGTATTGATTAAAGGCATGTGTATCCAATAATGGCTGTATCCCTGAACACACAGAGACTTACCTAGCTCTGCCTACCAAGTGCTGGGATTACAAGCGTATGCCACCACTGCCCTGCTTTCCTATGGCTTGCTAATAGCCCTGACCCCCGGGCAACTTTATTTGTTAACATACAAATAACATTTTAATACAAATAAAATATCACCATAGGGGGGGATCCTCCATACAGGCCTGGCCTGAGGACAGTTTGACCTCCTGCCATCAAGGTTCTTTCGAGATCACAATCAGAGATGATGATGATGATGTGTGTGTTGGTGTGTGTGTGTACACATGACACAGGCCTGCTTCAGACACCTCTCCACCGTATCTGCACACCTGCCCCACGCCTCTGCAACATAATAACGTGTTTGGGGCCACAACAGAATAATGGAATAACAGTGAAGGTTGATGTGAGAAAGGAAGCATGCTCTTCAACTCCACCCCCAACCCCCGCCCTGCCCCTTCCTGTAGGCGGACAGTAACAGTCTAGTCACCTACAATGCTGACTTACCTATGCTGCCTGGTGCCTGTCTATAGCACCCACGTCTGTTTGTCTGCACAGCAGCCCTGGACCCTGCAGGGTCTGCTTGCCATCACAGCCATGGAACCCGTCCAAGTTCATGCTGGATGGATTCAGTGTTGCATGCTAATCAGGAAAACATCAGAGCGTGTGTTGGTACTGAGGATAGTTATACTGCATCTTAGAAGTAGTAGACAGGAAGCTGGAGAGGTTCTGAGTCTGCTTGTTACCCCACTTAGCAGTTCTTGGTTTCAGAGTGCTTAAGCAAACAGAGTGGAATTTCCAGAGGTGGTTTGAACGTCTCTGAACTTAGACTGGACACGTTAGAAGGGAATATAAGTTGTCGTCAGGGTGTGGAGGGGATTGGTAGCAATCAATATTGAGAAGAAAAATGTGGTTCTCAGTTCAGACATTGTGCGCAGACTCCGAGGTATGTGCAACTAGCAAAATCACCCCCGAGAGTGCTTTCGGTGGATGGGTTGGGGCCCTAGGAGAGAAGAGAGCCGAGGGTGGTGTGACCCACACCTGCTTCCGTTGTCTGATGCAATGTCATCATGGCACTTGCTGGACCCAGTTAAAACCATGTGGTGGGTGTTTTCTAACTAGGGAGAAGGCGTGCTGGTGCCCACAGACTCCAAGAGAGGCTCTAGTGCATTGCCCATCCCTCTTTCCCAGCTAGAGAATGGATTAATAAGACCCACACTGGGAGGGACAGTGGCAGCTGGTGGAGGCTGTGTGAGCGACACAGCCCTGGGAGAGGGCAGAGGGAGAGCTGCTTGGTCCAGGGACCAGAGAGTCTGGGCTGATTTGTGTGAGATGTGATACCTGCCGGCTACCACCGCTTTCCTTGTCTGTAGTCTCGTGAGATTCCAGGAGAGGGTGAGAAATGACTGCCCAGTCTTCCTATAGACCTGCCATTACTCCTGTTGCTGTGGGTGTGTCGAGAATAAAGTATCGAGGCTGGAGAGCTGGCTCAGTGGTTAAGAACACGGGCTGCTCTTCCGGAGGATCTGGGTTTGATTCCCAGCACCCATGTGGCTGCTCCAACTGTCTGTATAACTCTAACCCAAGGAGATCCCATGCCCTTTCTGGCCTGTGCAGGCATACATGCAGGCAAACCACTCATACACATAAAAAAATAATAAAATAAAAATTTAAAAAAGGATAAGGCTTTCCAGGGAGGCGAGTGGTGTCTGAAGGAGGTAGCACAGGGGCTGACAATATAGCTCAGTGGGTAAGGGGGGCTTGCTACCAAGCTTCATGACCTGAGTTCTATCCTGGAATCTACATGGTAAATGGAGAGCATAGACTCTCACAGCTTATCCTCCGACCTCTACTCATGTACTCTGGTGCATGCACACATGCAAATACACACACACACACACACACACACACACACACACACACACACACACCCCATATCTATATACACACACCAAAAAATATAAATGTATTTCAATTTTTTTAAAGTAAGGAAAGACTTTAGGCAGTGGAGGAAAGCTGTTGTTATTTGATGGAAGCAGCTGATGCCCGGGTGGTGCACGTGAGTTAGGGTTGTATCAGTGTTTCTCAAGCACAAGGACTCTCATATTATCTGTTGTGTTTATTAAGACTCAATCATTGCCATCCCTTCCCATGGCGTTTATCATGAAGACCTTTCTTGCTCAACGTTTACCGAAGTCTTTTCTCTGCAGGGCGCTGTTGGCTGGTGGCGGCTTTTCTACCTGGACTTACCGGCAGGGCTATGACGTCAGCATTCCTGTCTTCAGCCCACTGTCAACTGAGGTGGCTCTCCCAGAGAAAGCACCAGGGTAAGGTGGCTCAGCCCAGGCAGGGTGCCATTACAGAGCGTGGGTGCTGGCAAGGCTGGGTGTGGGGTACCCTGGCAATCAAGGTGTCTACTTCAGGCCAGAGTCAGGAGTGTGCTGGCCTACCCCACCTATCTTGCTTTTCTTATAGCTTTCAGTATCGTAGGAAGCTTGTGGACTGTCTGCTAAGTTCACAGTCTAGAAACCTGTGGCATTCTGCCCCTGCTTCAGACAGCAAATTAACAAGTCTATCCTGTGAGAAGTGTCCCTCTGGATCTGCCTGCATCAGCCCACTGCCATCTCCTTTGGGATGCTAAGTGATGTCCTGTTTTGTGTCCCTGACTCTAGTCTCACTACCATCCAGCCTGGTCTTGCCCTTCCAATGCCTGCCGGGTAACGCCACACTTCCCTGAATGCCTGTCACAGCTGTCTGGTGTCTGGCCTGTCTCCTGTCAAGTCTTCTCTCAAAGAACTTTCCCTTCAGTTTTTTTAGAACAGGTTTTACTCTCCCTGTTATTCTGTGAACTCTTCATCTGTGAGTGTGTGAGTGTGTGTGTGTGTTGTGTACACATGTTTATGTGTGTTGTATACGCATTTATGTATTTGTTGGGGGGGTGTTGTGTGCATATTTGTGTGTATAGGCAAAGATGGCCCTCGGGTATCTGTCCTCCGTTGCTGTCCACTTTTTGTTTTTTGAGGCAGGGTCTCTCTCTGAACCAGAGCTCATCCATATGGCTAGGCTGACTAGCCAGTGAACTTCGAAGATCTTCCCGTCGCTGCCCTTCAATCCCTCTCATCTTTCAGCCTCCCACCCAGGCTGTGCTGTAGATACATGCTGCCATGTTTGGCTTTCCACAGTGTCTCTGGGGATCCAAACTCAGGTCCCAAAACTTGTGCAGCAGATAGTCTGCCAACCAACGAAACCATCTCCTAAGCCCTGCCTGGCAGTCTTCCTCCTTATCTCTGTCAGTCTAACGCCCTGCCCTGCTCATCCTTTACTTTTCAACTTGAAACTGCTTAGTTGGGGAAGGGTGGGCCGCAGTTTCTCTTCCCGGGACCAGATCCCCTGTATTATGTTCCCACTGCAGGCTTCCCCTCCTAGGGTGACACTTGTGCAGTGGCACCATGACTCTTGGAAAGCCTGTCTGCTTTGGTCTTTGGATTCTGTCAGTGCGATGGAGTACAGGCCAGGTCTGCTGTTTAACCACCAGAGTGGGTTTGACATTTAGTTGGCTCATATTTTCATATGTGCCATAAGGGGAAAGGTCTGGTTGCATGGATGTGGTGGGCCTTCTGTCTAACCCTTTCTTTGCTGGAGACTATTTGGAAGTTGTTTCATGGTGGGAGCTCAGTGAGTTTTAAACAGACACGATGAGGATAGGAGCATCCTTTGCTTGCATGAGAAGCATCCAGATACATAGCTGAGTGAATGTCCTACCAGGTGACGCTCGAGACCAACTCACAGTTTGATAGAAAGGAATCTCAAGGTGCTGTTCACTCTGAGAACATTAGGCCCGTTCTCTGAGCAGACCAGACTCAGAAGCCTGTATGGACTCTGAGAAGCCAGTGTACACTCCCTAGGGTACGACAGTGCCTTCTTGTGTGTGTTCCACCCCCGTGGCCTGGAGCCAGCCAAGCCCTGAAGTATCTGCAGCATTTCTTTAACAAATGTTTGGACCCTGTGGCAAGCCCGGGTCAGCTCCAGGTACTTTCCTGTAACCCTCGGAAAGGGCAAAGCAGGGCTGCGTGGTCTGTGCACAGCAGCACAGAGTCCTCCTGGGGGCATCTCCCGGGTGTGACGTCATTACATTTAAGTTGATAGTAACTCATAGACTGTACATCCAGTGTTTTAAAGTGTAAAATCCTGGCAGTGGGGGTGTTGTTGCTTATTCAGAATTGTGTAATTCTCATCAATACTGCTATCTTAGTTCTAGAACATTTTATCACTCTCCAAATACAGTCAGTAACAGTCACTTGTCATCTCTGTTCAGGGCAGCGTCTGCTAGCCTCTTTCCTTTCTCTGCTTCTGCTCTGGACACTTCATGCTAGTGTGGTGAGGCCTTTTGTGTCCATCTTCCTCCAGTGAGTGTGTTTTTACACTTTGCTCAAGCACTCTCTCATTGGCTGTCTCATTGTGTGTCTGCACCATGTTCGATTCACCCAGTCACCAATGGATGGCAGCTGTGATTATTTCTAATGTCTAGCTGTACTGAACACGCTGCTGTGGACTTTCAAGTGCAGGCTTTTGTGTTTTCAGTTCCCTGGGCTTTATATCGAGGAGTGGCATTGCTGAGCCATGTGGTATTTCTCTTGTAACTTGTAGAGGACACACCAGACCCATTCCCAAAGGTTACAGCACTGCGCCAGCCAGCCAGCCAGCCAGCGCTGTGTATGGTTTCCAGTCCTCGTCTTCAGAGCTGTGCCGTTATCTGCAGATCTGGCCATCCTAGGACGTGTGGGCACTGTATCCCTGTTGCTTCGCTTTTCCCCAGTGACCCCGCCTGCCGCTGCCTGTCTTTCTCTTTCTCTTGTGCTTATGGCCATTTATACGACTTGTTTGGAGAAATGCCTGTTCATAGTATCTGCTCATTTTAAGTTGACTTGTCGTCTTGTTGTAGAATTTTAACAGTTTTTATGTAGTCCAGGCATAGGGGCCTCCCTGGGTATGTGATTTGCAAATATTCTCTCCTGTTCTGTAGGCTACTTTCCACTTCCTTGATAGTGACCTTTGAGGTACAAAAGGTTCTACTTTTGATGAAGTTCAGTTTCTGTGTGTGTGTGTGTGTGTGTGTGTGTGTGTGTGTGTGTGTGTGTGTCTGTCTGTCTCTGTCTCGGGTTGGGGAGCGGCATTTGTGGATGTGTTTGGAGGCCCTAGGCTGAAGTTAGATGCCCTCCTCATTTGCTCTCCACCTTGGTGGTTGAGACAGGGTCTCTCACTGAATCTGGAGTTCACCAGTTCATGGAGACTGCACTGCTGGCCAGTGACCCTCTAGAGTTCCCGTGTCGGTCTCTCCGGCGCTAGGACTGCAGGTACATGCCACCGCGTGTGTGCTAGGTGTTGGACTCAGGGCCTCAGGCTTTCACAGAAAGCCCTTTCCTGCCTGGATGTCTCCCAGCCCCCGGTAGATCTGATTTTTGCTTAGGTTGCTTGTACTTTTGGTGTAAGTGTCAACAGTGAAAAGAGAGACCATTGCCGGATCAAGCCTATGCTAGATTTACACGCATGTTTTCTTTTAAGAGTTTTTATCGTGTTGGGTGTGTGATGTGTTTTGAGTGTGCCGTGTGAGGTAGGGTCGCATCCGTTCTCCTGCTTGTCCATCGCCAGTTGTCTCAGCACCCCTTGTGTATTCAAACCCGTGCTGAGATGGACCTGGCCATAAAAGACAGGCTTAGGTTTGGATTCTCTGCGCTCGTTGTCATCGTGTGTCAGTCCTTGCGGAAGGACCTCTCTGGCTCAGTTACTGGAGCTCTGCACTAAATTTTGAAGCAGGTAAACTGAGTTCTCCAACTTTGTGACATTTTCAATGTTTTCCTGGCTACTCAAATCCCATTGCATTTTATTATTTTTGATACAACACAACTTAAATACAATTTTAAAGCATGGAGTCCAGAGAGATGGTTCAGTGGTGAAGAGTGCCTACTGCTCTTGCCGAGGACCCACGTTTGCTTCCCAGCACCCACACTGGACAGTTCGTTACTGTCTGTAACTCCAGCGGCAGGTCTCAGACGCTCTCTTCTAGCCTCCATGGGCACCTGCATCTTCATCTCATACAAGTGCATGATTCACAGTTTTCCAAAAAGTTATTATGAAAATTTCCAAAAGCTTAAACACCTTTTCACGGTAGCTGTAGCTGTAGCTCACTTTGAGTGCTTGCCTGGCATTTTAGGGCTTGGTCCGCAGCACCCCATACGCTGAGCACAGAGAATATAACGTGATACGATGCTCCTTTTTGTGTTTCTTGCATATGCTTCTGTGACTTATATTTAAGGCTCCCTTTCTTTTCATTATCTCATGAAATAGAAACTTGCACGTTGTTTTCAGTTGCTCTGAGTACCGCAGACTGGTTTGTAAAGCATGAAGACTTATTTCTTCTTATTATTTAAGGGCTGGGGTGTTCAGGATGAGCAGCTATGCTTAGCAAGGCCTTCTTGCTGGGAGAACTCTGCAGAGCACCCAGGTGGTGCCGGGCATCACATCGTGAGACAGATGCTCCTATCCAGGTCTCTTCCTCTTTTTTTTTACAGAGCTGCAGCCCCACTGGGTTAGGGCTCCACCCTCAAGGCCAGAGGGCTCACCTCCGTAGAGCACAGTGCAATGACGTCTCTACCTTCTTCATTCTTCACAGTGGGAGTTAAATTTCACTGTGAATTTTGTTAGGAATGTTTAAACCACAGCAGGCATTTTAAAAAATAATATTCATCACTAAATATGAACAAAATAAAATTATTCCTATGCTAATTTTTTTATTATCAAAATGAAAATATTAAAGAAATTTTTTGCTTTTTTTTTTTCTCTCAGGGTTTGGGATTGAACCCAAGACCTTGTGTGTGCTAGACAAATTCTGCCACAGACCTACACCACAGTCCCAGCCCTTGTTTCTTTGAGACAGTCTCACTATGTAGTCCAGGCAAGCCTCAAATTTATAATCTCCCTGTCTCTGTCTTTGCCCTGCTGGAGTTACAGGTGTGGCCCTCCACACACATGTCACCGATGGTTCTTTGAAGAGAGGCTCTTATTCTATAGTTCAGGCTGGCCTGGAACTCACTTTATAGACCAGGCTGGCCTTGAACTTTTGACAGTTCTCCCAGTTCTGCCTCCCCAGTGCTAGGATTACAGGCACTTGCATGATCCCCAGCTCTTCACAAACAATTCTTACAGAGAATCCAGAGGCCAGGGAAACTGCTGTGCTTCAAGCGCCCTGTTCCAAGGTTTGTTGGTTCCTGTGAGGCAAGCAACTCTGTCATGTACCCAGGATCTTCAGTTTGACGCATTGATATAGCATGAGGTAGGCTGGCCCTGCCTGGCATGGACTGTCCTGTTTGCATGCTTTGGGCACAGTGAACCTCTCTTACCAGTTCCCAGACGCCAGTCAAGAAGCCAGTAGTGAAAACTTCCACAGGAGAGCAGCAGGCCTGCCACGCTAACCCCCTCTGCACAGGACGGCCACCACAACAGGGAGTGGATGGCCCCAGACGTCATCAGGGTGCAGCTGAGAAACATGAGAAACGTTGGGTCAAGCAGTGAGTGTGTGAGGACTGGTCTGCTGGGCGTCCATGCCTCTGGGCCTGTCTGCTTGCTACACCTTCCCTAAACTCACTGTGATCTGCCCCGTGTCCTAATCCAGCCGCTGCTCTGTTGGCTTAGGACTCTCATTCCCTCCAGATTTAACCCAGGGATGAGAACACTGAAGCCCAAAGATGGACAGGCACTGAAGTGCCGGAGACCACTCAGATGCCTGACTTCAGAGATTTAAACTGTTGTCTGTGGTATTTTTCTAGTAATTTGATCTTTCTGATTTTTATGTATGACTGCATGGAGTTGAAGATCACTTGAGGTTGCAATTAGTTTTAAAATTTTGTGGTTCAATAACCTGTGAGAGACCCCACTGTCTTCATGATAGCCCCCAAAGGCCAAGGGCTCGTGGGACAGGGCCCTTCCTCCGTGGCCACCTCGAAGTTGTGCTTACAGTGGAATGTTACTTCTATAAAAGACACCCCTCTCCTGCCCTCCAGAGACTAAAGGTGAAAACAGGCTTTGACCTCATTAGCCTCTCAGGGCCCCAGGGAAGACAGGGAGGGTGCCCTGGCGACAGCATGTGGGTCCTGCCCTCTGTGAGAGGTGTTTCTCGGGGAATTCCCACGTCTCGGGAGGGCTGCTGCCCAGCATAGCAATGCTGTTTCCCTTTTTATTTTAAAGCCCTCCCGGTGCTTTTCCAATGGGAAGCTCAGAGTTGTTACTATTGATAGCTGCTTCTCACAGCCGTGGTGGGCCTGGCTGGAATTCTTACCATTTTCCCTCTAAACGGAGCTAAATCAGGAGTTTCCAACCCTGGTAAAAGTTTGAGGGAGACATCAAGTTCTCAGCACGATCGGGGTGTGTGTGTGTGTGTGTGTGTGTGTGTGTGTGTGTGTGTGTGTGTGTGTGTGTGTGCTGGGAGGAAACGTGAGAGTCATAGCTAATATGAGCCCTCGGAAGAAAAACAAATCTACCTGAAATTTTTGCTTGGTTAAAACTAAAAAGTGGGCATAGTCCATCAGCTGTCTGATGAGAGCCAACATGCAGGCAGGGGAGCCTGCTTAGAGTCCTGTTCACGTCTGCACACTTGTACTTGGCAGGCCTAGGGGGTAGGTAGGCCCAGTGAGCGGAGCTCTAGTGGGCCTGACAGCTTCTGAACAGGTGAACAGTGAAATCCACCCTGACTCTCTCTGCTCAGGTTCCTTTGAGAACCACACACTAACATCTGTTTACTTCTGAATCTGTATAACTCTGTGCATGTGTATGTGTGTTTGTGTGAGTATGGGCGTGCATGCACCCGTGTGCGTGTGTGCCAGAGGGGTGCTTGGGTATCATCCTCAAGAATGATGTCCGCCTCCTTTGAGGACTCTCTCACTGACCTGGAGGCATTATGCTTGCCTGGCTCGCCAGCAAGCCCCAGGGAGCCTCTTGTCTTGACCTCCCCAACTCTGGGAGTGTAGGCATGTGCTATCACGTAGTGATGCTTGGGGGTTGAGCCCAGGCCCTCGTGCTTGTATGGGCCACTGCCTGGGCCCCTCTGCCCTCCAGCCCCATATTTATATACCTTTGAGACAAGGTTCTTACTGTGTAGTTCAGGCTGGCCTCAAACATGCCACCTCTCTGCCTTAGCTCCTTGGTACGGGGATTACCAGTGTGTATTACCACACTTGGCTCCAGCTCCATCCAGCACTGCAGGGCCATTCTGGTTTTGGCCTTCCATAGCTGCAGCTCCCTTCTGGCTCCCATGATCCTCAGTGTCTAGACATTGTGATTATCTGTTCTGTATGTCTTCATGCAACTGAAGTGGGCTTTGGATCTGAAGGTTTGTGCTCTGGGAGGGTAACCTAAGTTGCAGAGCGTGTTCTTTGGCTGTGGGTATCTGGCTAAGGCTCTCAACGGTTAGAACAGACACAGTCACAGGACTGTAGGCTTTATGAGCCAGTGTGCAAAACACACAGCCCTAGTGTTCCCTGGTTTTACCAGTTTGAGTAGGATGTATGTAGCCCTGCCCTGCTTTTCAGGGTAAGCAGGGGTGGGGTGTTCATTGTCTCAGAACCTGACTTATATGAATTTTCTCAATGGCAGCGATCCCCTGGCCTACAGACCCCCTTCCCCGTGTCCTACCTGCTCTGTACTGTATGTAGGAGTCCTGCCTTTCAGGCAGACATCTCCTAGACAGCAGCCTTTACAGCTGTTCTCACTGTCCAGTCTTTGGAGAGGGCAGCTCATGATTCCAGAGGCTTCAGTTCACACTTGGCCCAATCAGGACAACATGGCGGCTTGAGCACATGGTGGGGCAAAGCTGCTTATCCCATAGCAGCCAGGAAAGCTTGAAGAAAGAGGAAGGGCCAGAGACAGAACACATGCTTCAAGCACACCCCAACCTCATGCTTCATCCAATGGAGTCCACCCCCACCCCCCGAAATTTCCATAACCTTCTAGGAACCCATCAAATGATTAACTTTTGTGTGTTTATTTGTGTGTGTGTATCTCTGTGTGTGCACATGTGTGTGCCACAGTGCACATGCCGCAATAAGAGGACATTAATGAGAGTTAGTTCTCTCTTTCCACCACTCGGGTACCAGGGACTGAGCTCAGGTCATCCGGCTTGGTAGCAAGCACCTTTACCCACTAAATAATCTTACTGTATAATTCATAAATTATAAATCTATACATGGACTAATCTATTGATGAGCTTGAAGCCCCATGATTGGTCACGTCCTGCCTCAGCCTCCTGAGTATGTGGGACATGTAACATGTGTCCCCATGCTCACAGTTTTGCGTCTTTGGAGACCTGCATAACACTGGACCTTTGATGTCTTTATTTGGTTTTCTTTCTGGATACTTGCCATGCGTGTTGAGATGTGTTCTGTGATGTGGTAAGGATAGTTACCACCCCACCCCCACCCCCCACCCCTGTTTCTGGTTTTTAGATTCCTTTCCTGCCCATATGGTCTTGGGAATGGAGACGTGTCCCAGAGTCCCTACATAGCTTAGGGGTGCTGTTTGACACGGCAGCCCATCATGGGGACTCCTTCTCTCCCTGTTTGAAGGATGCAGTCAGTGTTCAGTTTCTCCTCAGACCGCAGACTCAGGTTTAATAAAGGATAAGGTTTTGTTGTTCTGTTCAAGTGGTCAGCCTGTTTTCTCTGTTTATACACATCTGTGTTTACAGCACACTCTGCAGGCTTAGCATGCCATGAGCATTTCTTCACAATATTAGAACAGTTTCTGTTGGACATAGTGGCATGCATACACCTTTAATTCCAGCACCCAGGAGGCAGAGGTAGGTGGATATCTATGAGATTGAGGCCAGCCTGGTCTTCAGAGCGAGTTCCAGACTAGCCAAGATTACATAGAGAGACCCTGTGTCAAAACCAAGTAAAACAGCAAAAAGAAAAAATAGAATAAGAAGAGATTTGCCTAAATAAGAATTTTATGGCTTCATATTTCAGAATACAAGTGAGTCATACCTTGTTTTTATATAGTATGTAATGTTTTTTAATATCTAGTAATGTGACTCACTCAGTATAATTTTAAAAATAAGTGGTGGATGTTGAGACTGACCTGTTGCTAGAAGTTCAACACTTTTTTTTTTTCTTTTGGCGCTGAGGACCAAACCCAGGGCCTTGAGCTTGCTAGGCAAGGGCTCTACCAATGAGCTAAATCCCCGACCCCAGCTAGAGGTTCAGTGTTAAGCTTTGTGTGACCTGACTGACCAGTGACTGACCCCAGGTGACCTTTTCTCCCCCCCCCCCCCCATAGTCCACGGCGGTACTTCCTGCTGTCGTCTCAGATGGCCATCCATCCTGAGTACAGAGAGGAACTGGAAGCCCTCCAGGCCAAACACAGAGAGTCAGTGTTGGTCCTGGACAAATGCACCAATCTCTCGGAGGGGGTCCTTTCCGTCCGCAAGCGCTGCCACCAGCACCAGGCCTTCGATTACCCCCAGGTGCTGCAGGTGAGTGCCACTCAAGACCCTGCTAAGCTCGGGGCGGGTTGCTGCCGTGGAGTGAAAGTGACCCCAGTACCAGGAGCTGTTTTCTCTAAGTAACTGAGGTAGTACCCAAGAGAAGATGCAGCTCCTTCCTGGAGGTGTACACCACTGGGGACTTGAGTGGATGGTGTGTTTATGTTGTGTGGGGCGACTTGATCCATAAAGGTTAATAATCTTTTCAGATACTCATTATACTTCAGAAACAAAAATCCTCCAGATTTCTAAGAAGCTGTATAGACAAAACACACAGATGTATCTTGCTTTTACCCCTGTCTTCCCGGGCTGGTCCAGAGAAGTGACCTTCTGTAAGGTGGCCGGTCACTTCTCTAAGCCATGACAGCCCATAGGGCCCCAGTTGGCTGTCCCTGAGCACTCAGGCCTGTTCTTATTGCTCTGGCTTTGGGGTATTTTGTCACCCATACCATACCCATCATTCCATCATGGGTGTGTTCCTCCATAACCACAAGGCAAAGTGGCCCTTGGGGGACTGTTTATAGGCAGATTATTTGACATTCCAGGTTATGGGGTGCTAAGAAGGGAGAATCAGAGCCTTGCTCACTTAACCATTTAAAATTGAGACAGGTTAGTTCAACAAGAACTATCAAGGAGGTGAGGTCATTTTTATGCGTTTACATATTTATTTATTTTTTAAAAAATCTCCAGAGAACCAGTGCATCCTGAGATTGTTAAAATACTCTCTCGAGAAGTGCTGTCTTCCTCTGGAGTTTCTGGCTAATAATGGTGGAGATGCAGCAGTGTTTATAGTAACCTTTGTCTGGACAGGAAGAACTATCTGCGTGTGTCCACATCTGGCTGTGGCTGCAGCCCAGGCACCATGAGCATCCCACCTCCTCAGCAGCTTCTCTCCTGTATCGAATCCAGAGACGTTTAGGAGATTGACTTTCTCATGTTTTTCCTGACCTTCCTTTTTCTATAATGTTATTTATTTTTAAACAACATTTTTATTAGCTTGTTTAGTTTGCACGTGTATGTACGTGTGTGTTGCATGTATGTGCACACTTGCACATGCCACACAGTACAGTGTGTGGAGGTCAGAGGACAACTTTGTTGGAGTTGGTTTGCTCCATCTCCCCTGTGGGTCCCTGGGATCAAACTCAGGTCGTCAGGCCTGGGAACAGCGTCTTTACGGGCTGAGCCATCTCACTAGTACATTCATGTGATTCAGGAGTCAGTTTTAAGATGTAATTTTCTTTTTTAAAATTGCATTTATTTTGTGTAGGGGGATAAGGGAGGAACAGGATTTTTTTTAAAAAACAGGGTTTCATTGTATAGCCCAGGTTGACTTTAAACTCACTCTTCTCCTGCCTCACCTTCCCAAATACTGAGATTATAGATACAAACCACTTTGCCTGCCTTTTTTCCCCTGACTTTAAAGATGAGGTCATGTTTTCTTTTTTAATCCTTTTGTTTCCTCCTGAAGAGACAGAAGCAGGGAAACCAGGAGTAAGAGAATTGGGATCTCACTGGGGTGCGGTGCCCACGGCACCTGCCCTTCCTCTGGGCATCCTCCGTTTTCCCAGCGTTCCCCACATTGAGAGGTGTGAGAGAGAGAGAACGAGGAAGAGATTTTTTGAGAGTTCGTTTTCGCTGGACTTCTTGTCTCTGGAACCTATCATTTCAATGCCTCCTAAAGGCTCTGTGTACCTTTAGTGACCACCTTCTGTAGGCAGACAATGCTAGGGCCTTAGGGACTGAAGAACAGAAGTTCAGACCTTCCTTATGAGGCTCCTCTAGAGGGCCTGTCCCGTTGACACCACATGCCATGTATGTGTACACGGTTCATTGGCACTGACGGACACCGGTCTCAGGACCTCACGTGGTCAGGTGAGGAAGCCTGCGATTCTGGCTCTCAACATGTGCAGAGCGCCAGCCATGGTGGCGTGTGGGTTGCACTGAAGAACGAAGGTGGGAAACCCCGCAGCCCGCTGGGCATTTCCTGTTTCACAGGTGTGAGGCCCTCTAGCAGTTTCTAGATGCCTCGGTACTGCTTAGCTTTAAGCCTTGGGGGAACGCCATAGTGTGCAGGGATCCAAGTAAGAGATCAAGAGACTTCTTTGTATTCCTCGGCCTTCTCTTGTCTTGCTGTAGGAGGCTACTTTTTGTGTGGTCCTTCGAGGAGCTCGGCTGGGGCAGGCAGTGCTGAGTGATGTGTTACAGGCTGGCTGTGTCCCGGTTGTCATTGCAGACTCCTATGTCCTGCCTTTCTCCGAAGTTCTGGACTGGAAGAGGTGGGTGTACTGTCTAGTGAACTGTAGCTGGTGGCTTGGCCAGTGTTGGAAAGGAAAGCCTCTTGGACCACTGTGATGCATACCCAGCTTTGAGGTGCCGAAGAACGTGAGGGTGGAAGATAAGATCAATATACCTGACACACGTGCATGAGAAGCGCAAAATGAAGCCCGTTATTTAAGAAACAGACATGACCTTGAGGGTGGCCAAGGCCGTGTGAGTGCGGTACACACTGCTTGGCACAGTTCTTCAAAGTATTGGCCAGGAGGATTCAGACGCCAGCGCTGAGCTCATGTGCTGGGTGGCAGCCCTACAGTCCTCCAGGAAGCAGCCGCTGCTTCACCGTCTTTCCCCAAGTCATCTGTGCATGTCAAATAGATTCAAGTAAAAAAAACCACACACACACACACATTAAAGTATGAACTTTGATAGCCACTTAAGTTTGGTAAGAGTGGCAAAGGGTGCCGGTATACTGTAAATTACATTCAGGTTGCGAGTGTAACAAATGCACAGAACATAAACGAATCTTCATATTTAGACTGGAGTCCCGAGTTACGTTCATGCAGATATTCCAAAATTGAAGGCACCTTGGGACTGGGCCTAGGGTAAGGGATCCCGGCCGCTGTTGCTTTAACATGTTAGCAGGACTGGGCCTAGGGTAGGGGATCCTGGCCGCTGTTGCTTTAGCCCGTTTGCTGTGTCTTCCATCAGACTTAGCACAGTGGTTTAGAGCAGGTCACGGAGTCCAGTGGGCCGAACCCACCCCCACTGGCTGTTTTTGTAAATAAAGTCTTTTTGAATCACAGCCATACCCCTCATTTGCGTGTTACTTGTGAAGTGATGAGTAATTGCAGAGACTGGGTGGCTTACACAGCCTAAAATACTGACTCCATGGCTCTTTCCACAAAGCAGTCGCCACCCCTGGGCTGGTGCAGTCTAGACACAGCTGGAGAGTTTCTTTCTTTATCCCAGGGATTCTGAATTAAAGCTCCCAGGTAACCAGATTCGTAACTCAGTCCAGAGCCACTGCTGTGGAATTGCACACTGTACTGGCTGCCAGTGGGGAGCCTCTACCTCCACAAAAGCTTGGAAACTCCGAAACAGGGACAAATGCAGACCCTGCTTGCTTGTGCTCACAGGAATTGCCCTCTGGTCACGTGTGTTATTTCCACAAGACGGGTGGCGGACTGTTAAAATCGAATTTCCTTGCTGTATACCCTTCAACTCATGTCTTTGCCACAAATATTTAATTCTTTCTCTTCTCCCGACTCTTAGGACAGTGTATCCAAGTCCAATGGCGTAGGCGTTTGAACAATTTAAATAGCACCAATTGGCTAACTCCCTCATCCATTTTACATTTGTTAGAAAGTCTCCTGTTACTAAGATGGTATTTTCTAATCTGATAACAGGGACACTTTCTGCTTCTGAGGAGGTTAGATCTAGCGGGGAAGAATAGCCAGGGATCAGGGACAAGTGAAGATTCTGCTTGATTGTGTTCACTTCCTCTACTGAGACTTCACTCCCCCATAACCTCCCCAAACAGCACAAGCCTATGGGGGACACACCGTTCAGACCCTCACCGTCACCGTCAGCAACAGGTTCTCCAATATGAGTGAGGTCGGGCCTTTCTTCAAGGAAGCTCTCTACTTAGTGATGGGAGAGCAGTGAACCTGCAGTTCCCAGGTGCTGTGATGTGATTGGTCAGACTCTGGCTGGGCCGTACTAGGACAGCGAGAAGACTGCCGTGGGTGAGGGCCTCACAGGACAGTGGCGTCGCAGGTGTGAAAGGGTATTTCTGCAGAGATCAAGGTCAGCTTCAGTGTTGGGTTGTGGGTGAGCAACAGGAGGGTGCTACATTTGGAGTCAGGGGTCTGTAACCAGCTCCAACTGGCTAGCTTTGAAATTATAGCACATTAATTCATTTCTTCGTCCTCAGTCCTGTCTCTACTGCAAAAATCATTTGCTTATTTAGTAGATGTCCCTGAAGTCCTGGCTGTGTGGGAGGGAGCCCGCTGAGTGCCCTGGGTGCAGTGGTGGGCAGGAGTGGGGGCTAGATTTTAATGAGCATTTCTGTGCAAGTATAGTTACACTCTCTGCACACCGTCCTTCTGGAAGGCAATGCCAGTCTCACTCCTCATCCCCAGTCTGTGAGTGAATCCCGTGGGGGTAGGGAGTGTAGGGCACAGGCAGGCCCTCTCCTCTCTCCAGCTCCACTCTGATGTAGTTCTGCTGCCTCTGCAGGGATCCCAGCCCTCCTTCCCGTGCCTGCGCCTGCTTCCTGTCACTTGCTGACCCCGTAGACAGCACGGGCCTGTTGGAGCTTACTGGGCTTCTCAGGCCTCTTGGCCTCCACCTCCTAGTGGTTTCCCATCTCGGCACCAAGCTCTCCATGGCCTCCAAGGTCCTGTGAGCCTCACTGCAACCCGCCCTCCCCCTTTCTGCTTGGCTCTCCTTCTTCTCCATCCTGTTTACTCTGCAGCAGCCACAGGGGCCTCCTAGCTGTTCCTGGACCATGCCCAACATGATGCTTCCTCAGCCTTTCACTCCTTAGCCCCGTGCCTGGAGCTCTCTTCCCACGGGCCTTCTCATGCCTGTTCACCCCTCTTTCCTCTGATGTTCTCTGTTGAATTGTCAATGCCCAGCACATAAGTAAATGCTGAATCAATGGATGGCTTTGTGTAGAGGCTAAAGGGGGGAAGTAATTGTTAATTCTGGGAGTGTAGAGAAGGGTGAGGATGGGTGAACAGGGAGACAGCATTTCACATGCAAAGGCCCTGTGGTGAGACAGAACTTGCTGTGGTTGGTGACAGCGATGCCAGGGATGACAGAACAGACAGGGAATGATGGAGGGCTGAAGGAGTTTTGGGGGTTTTGTTTCTGCTCTTGAGAAGGGAACAGGACAGCGTACAGTGTTGCTTTCTGGAGTGGGCTGTGCATATGTAAATAGTGCTGTTGTCTCCAGGGCATCTGTGGTGGTCCCAGAGGAAAAGATGTCAGACATGTACAGCATTCTGCAGAACATCCCACAGAGGCAGATCGAAGAGATGCAGAGACAGGTAAGAGGCCAGAGCGGAGACACCTGTCTTGGGATCTGTTACTATTCACCACTGACCTCGTCTGAGCTAGTGAATCCGAGAATCAGTTCAGAGCTTGCCACATTTTCACCATAAACCTGTAGCGTTGGGGAACACTGCCTCTTGAAGAGTCTGGGCATTTGTGTTCTTTGTGTTACCTTTAAAATTTATTTTTATTTTTTAGACAAGACTGTAGACCAGACTGGCCAGGAACTCACAGAGATCCGCCCTCCTCTGGGACTGCAGGCATTTGCCTCCACACCGTACCTGTTGGTATCTTTGTTTACTAGATTAATTATAGAATCATACACTAAATAAGATTCCACCTCACACAAGATTCTGCTATAGGAATGTTAGGGAGAAACTGGGCCTGGGGTGAAGATGAACACATTCTGTCTGGTCTCCTCTCTGCCCCATCTGCCACACGTGGGGAAAGATCACTTGCATTTTGGAACAGAGCACCCCCTGACAGCCCATAGAATGGTGTAGTTGCTGGACAGGATCGGGGTGGGAGCTGCTTGCCTGAGACAAGCCTGACTTAGTTGTCAGTGGCCGGCTAGGAGTCACTGGACAGCTGAGATGGAGTGAATGAAGGGCATGTGAAGCAGCTGCCTGTTGGTTATTGAGTTTGAAGACTGGGACTGGGCCCTGGCCCTGGCCATGCTAATTGTGTTACCATCCTAAGCTGTCTAGGCTTTCATTTTATCATCTGTGGAATGCAGGGCTTCACTGAATCACCTCTCATGTTCCGGGCAGCCATTTAACAACTCTGTGGAAGTCTTGTCTCTGGCGAGAACGTTACCTTCCCAACCAGCACTGAAATTTAAGAGGTCATCTCTCCCTAAATATGTCATCGTCGGGTCATGAGGGCCCCTGACCTCCTCTGCTGGTGGACACCTTCCATCACACCAGCCTCCCCTTCTCACTCCTCCCCTGCTTCCCATTGTTCATTTAGCTGGGACTGCTCCCTGACTGTCCACAGTGCCCTAAGGTAGCCCATCAGCCTGCCTGCCTTTGCTGTGGATTTTGTGTTCCCCAAGTGGCCTCTTTTGTCTCCCAACCCCACATTTCTGAACTGGACCGGTCCCAACTAAACATGCTTGAAATAATTGCTATAAAGGCTGACAAACTTTAACTCTGGCCAGAAACCAGTAGCACCCTCCTCTCCTACAAGTTGTAACAGCCGCCAGTGTCTCTTGACATTGCCAAATGTTCTGCTGGGGTGGGAGCAGTCAGCTTCAGTTGAGAACCAGTAGTTGCGTTGATGAGATGTCATCTCTTCGTTTGGAGCGTATTAGTTAGTGTCCTGCCACTATAAAGCAGTATTGGAGGCTATGATTTAGACAAAGTTCAGAGGCTCACGTCTGATGTCCATCAGCTAACTGGTCTGGCCTATGATGAGGGCAAGTGGTCCTGAGAGAGCAAGAGGGGGCTGTTGATCTCCACAGCCTCTTTTGAGGACATGCCCCACTGACCTGAGAATCCCTCACTTGGCCTCACCTCTTAAAGGTCATAGTGCTTCCCAGTCCGCCATCTGAGGACCAAGCCTTTACATACGGGTCTTTGGGGGGACTCACCAGTGTGTGCCAGCGTGTGTGCTCTTGCTCTGAAACTGCACACACTGTCCTTTGCCTTCTGTTTATGTCTGTGGGTTGAGCTTGACCTTGGCTGGAGTGTTAAAACTGCTCCTATACCTCAGCAAATCCTCCCTGGCGAGCTCAGCTTGTCTTTTTGCAATCTAGGCATATGTCTCTGCAGTCACTGGGCCTCATACCTCCAGGTAAGGCGTCAGCATTCTGAGGTATTCAGAGCTAGAGCTTAACGAGCTGCAGGAACAGTTGTCGCCAGCAGGGGTCTCCATCTGCTTTTAAGTGACTAATTTTCCTGCCAAGGATTTTAAATCTGGGGAAAATCCCAAATGCCAGAAGCTGCTTGCTTCTCAAGGGATGAGGTCCTCACTCTTGCTCTCTAGAGACCATGTTGTTCAAGGGACAAGTTAGGCATTTGCTCTAGCAGCATGAGACAGCACCCAACACACACATACACACACACACATACACACACACACACACACACACACACACACACACACACACACGGGGAGAGGGTAATTAAAACTAGCTAAACAGAAATTTTAAGAAGAAAGGCCATGATCTGAGTGTTTGGTACACTCATTACCATCCTAATGTAACTGGGAGTTCAGTTGTCCTAACGGAGAGAGGCATGGAGGCAGCCATACCTAAGGACAGGGCTGGAGCCTTGAGCAGGCCAAAGCTGTGAGGAAGCCAGTAGTCATGGAGATGAGCATAACAAAGAAAAGTGTCTCTGCAGATAGTCCTGAAAAGGCCCTTGTGAGCAGTGTGAGCACACACACACAGCCTTGGAAAGTCTAGTGCGACTTGCACAGCTTTAGGAGGGCAGTTCAAAGCAATCCCTTCAGTTAGCAGACGGGACAGCTGTAGCAGTGAAGCTGGTTCTCAGTTGTACTTTTATTGTCTTGTGTGCTAATTAACTAGTTAATTGACCTATTGAAGCCCTAATTGTTTTTTTCAGGCAGAGATTACGGGCCACTATAAGGCTCTGTGACTCTGCCTAGGGCAAAAGTCATCTTGAGTCGCAGCGTTCACCCGAAGCTGCTTTTGAAGATGGTGTTGGAGTTCCAGGAAAGGGTGGCACTCAGGGAGCCGCTGCCAGGGCAATTGGCTGGGAGATGGCCTTCCAAGTAGGTCTTAAAGATGAGCTTTGTTTTTTTTAAAAGGCAGGAGGAAATTTGCAGCTCAGTGTTTCTCCGCAGTCAAATGGCACGCTCATACCCCCAGACTCCCTTGAATCACAAGAGAAAGCATGTGGGCTTGGGTCTCAGAAGGCTGGGGAGATGCTGGCCTGGCTAGTTAGAAATGTTTGTGTGAAGGGGGAAAGGTGTAAGTGGACCCCCAGTTTATCTGTTGAGCAGAGTTCCCAAACACTGTTTTATTGGTCGGTGGCTCTCGCAGCAGTGACCTCCAACCCCAGCCACACTAGGAGGTGGAAGTCAGGGGCCTGCTCTGCCTTTGAACTCCGCTTTTGTACTCGGTTGACTGGGGGCCACGGAGGTGGTGGCGGAGGCTTTAGCATCTTGTCTTCTCTCTAGCCAGCAGCATTCAGGAAAGGTCAGCTGGGAGTTTCTGTGGTCTTGTGTCTCAGTGTGTCTTCAGGGTTGCCTGGTAACTATGCCACATAGCTGTGCTGCAGAGAAGCCTTGGAGATGTGGGCAGACCACTGCTTAGCAAATAAGCCCGGGTGCAGTGCCCTTCTACACTACACTCGAGCAAGGCTCCAGACCGGGCAGGAGAGGCCGCGGGCCAGGAGAGCTGCGCTGTGCCCACGCTTCACTTGCAGGAGAGCCCCCTGGAGGGTGCTCTTGTTTTACCTCATTTATACAGAGTCTCCAGGAATTGGATTCCAGTGTTGGGTTACCATCGCTGGAGTAGTTTAGAGACTACAACCTGAAGGGAGGACAGTGGCCCAAAAGAGTCTCTGAGATGGGCTGGACCTCTCAGCGTAGTGGACACGAGCCCAGACAGTTCTGCAGGCTTCCTCTAGGAGGTCTGTGGAGATGGCACAGTTCTTCAGGATACGGTGCCTTTGCTTTGTTTTTCATGGTCTGCATTCTCAGTTATTATCAATTTATATACTATTCCCCCCAAGCTGTTATTAACGAGCCCCTGAAATTCTTAAGATAAGGTTTAATTTGTTGAGCATGTATAATTTTTTAAAATACTGAATCATCTATATCTTACAAAGTTTTTTGTTTAAAATATTTAAGTTCTTTCTTCTTTTTTTTTTTTTGTTTAGATTTCCTAATTTTTTTTATGCGTGAGAGTGTTTCGCTTGCATGTATGTTTGTGTACCACCAGAGTGCCTGGTCTCCATGGAGACTAGAGGAGGGTGTCAGATCCCCTAGAACTGGGGTTATAGACAGTTGTGAGCCACCATGGGGGTGCAGGGAATTAACTGCTGAGCCACCTCTCCAGCTCCCTAACTTACATTTTTCAAAGTGTTCTGTGATTCCCTCCTATGTCTAGACACCTCAGCTGCCCAGACCCTGTGTGTTAGCTGAGCATTCCTCCTGCTGCTGGCCCCACTGTTCCTTCCCTAGTGGTTATATGGTAGGTAGTCTCTGTCCACTCCCCCTCACCCCCACCGCAGCATACCCCAGTTTACAGAGCAGATTCTTTCCACAGGAGGGAGATAGGCTCCTGGAAGAACCATCGGACTCCAAGCCCAAGGCAGGCACACACTGTTCGGCCACAAATGCCCTCAGACCCCAGTGCCATTGTGGCCTGGGCTGTGGGTGAAGTCAGGCTGCACTCGCAGCCTTTCAGGCCGACTTCCTGTCACCTTGCCTAGCTTTCTCCCCAGAGTGAGTGATTCAGACAGTTCGAACTGGACACTCCCTGGAAATACATTAGGAAGGAGGGTGCCATTTCCAATTCCCAGGGCCAGTGCTGTAATTCATGGAATTCTTACCCCTGGCCCCCCGCTGGGAAGTGGAGACTTTCTCATTTACATAAGCTGGGGCCTGAGATGGTGGAGGCAAAGGAGCCTGCTGTGCAGGCCTGATGACCCTGGCTTAGTCCTGGAACCCATGGTGGAAGGAGGGCACCAGTTCCTACTCGTTGTCCTCTGACCTCTGTACACTAGCTGTGTCTCACACACGTAACGACACACATGCAATAAATAAACAAGTAAAGCATAGTCTTGGAACTTCACACTATTCAGCACATGCACATAAACAAATAATAAATAAATTGGTAGATTATACTTTTGTAACTACGTGTACACACACACTCACACACAGGACTATTTCCCCTCAGTCCTGACAGGCTGTCTTCCTTGGCCTGGCTTTCCAGCTTGCTCTTAAAGAGCATGGGGCTGGCAGTGTAGCTTGGTGGTAGAGCACCTGCCCCACGTGCACAGGGCCCCTGATTTCAGACCCCAGC